CGAGAGCAATATGTGGGAATGACCTCATAGGCTATTAGTGAACGGTTGTGGCGCCTGGGCTGGAGAGGAAGATCAGGAAGCGGATGTGGGGCAAGGCCCCACTGTTCAACTGGCTGGTTGTGGAGGAAATGGCGCAGTTGGAGTGCGTTGCGCCTGGAAAAAATACCTGCTGTGGCCCAGAAGGTCGCCAGTTCGAGTCCAGCTTCCACCAGCTCACACACCCCTGGTCTTTAACCAGCTCAACCCCGACTTCTCCGTTTAGACCAGCGGGCACAAGTTACGCTTGGGATTTCCCCAAGAAGAAAAGGGTTTTTCCCCACGCAATGTGCTTAGCAACCTATTGTCTGCCGTCGCCGTGGGCACGACCCAGCACACCTCAGTGGTGAACTCGGTCGAAAAACAAATAAAGAGTACTGAGTGGTCAGAAATATACATACATACATACAAAGCCCCTGAAGGGCGTTGCGGAGCTTCACCTGCTCAAAGTGGCCGTCTCTGTGGGCCGCCGGACACTCAGGACTCAACGGAAGCGCAACGACCCCTGAAAAGTTCTTCGCCTTTAAAACAAGCCCCAAATCATGGATGGGACCTAAAGGCTACGACGTGGCGAGGTTTTGTCTACCTACCATAATACAAACTAGCAGTGCGAGGTTGCAGGTGATCACGACAGCAAAATTGTATCGAACGGCATACCAGTCTTTGGTCGGTCATCATGCAACGGAGGCTTCGGTCCAGTACTTGACGGAGCAAGTAGACATATGCTTGACGGCATCTGATACAGAACATGAAGCAGTCAACTCGGCTCAGCCTGCCCGGCCGAATTGCGCAAGAGTCGCTTATCTAAGTTCCCAACCGTACTTGAAACATTTGCGATTCACGGATGTAAACGTATGTTGAATCGTCAACGTCTTTTGTCTTAAGAGCGCCGTCCAGTCATTCGGCGAAGATGATAGCTGGGCTGAGTTTCTGTGGCGCATGCATTCTCGGAGATGAACGAGTCCTAGGCTGGACAGTGCGGAGTGCACATGTGTAAGATTTCGATGCCCATCTCAACAATATGAGAGAAACAACAGGGCCTTCAGGTTGCTCGATGAATTGAACAAAGGAAGAGTCACATACTTGGGAATACAGACCGCCTCCAAAAGACCATGATGCACAGGATTCGCTCTGTGGAGCCTTTTCTAAGGACGAGCCCGGTGCAGTCATAAGGCTGGTCCTAGTTTATTTGTTTATTTTTTCCGACTGCTTCACCACTGGGGGCGCTAAGTCGTGCCCACGGCGCCGGCGGGCAAGAGCTATCTAAGTTATATCAATTATAGGTGAAGCCGGAGGAAAACCCGCGTGGGAGAAAACCGACGTGAGATATTGAAGGGCTATCATGTCACATGGTTGAGGGGTGGGAGAGTAGTTCCGGGAGCCGTGTCCGGCCCTTGGGTTCCGAAGAGGGTCTGGGGAAAAAGAATGGATGTGGGGAGAGGGAGAGCCGTCACTGGGCAGGGTTCGCGGGCTGCCCCCAGAGTTCGGCCCGGGAGACTCTAGATCTGAAGAGTTCGAAGGAGGACCAGAAGACCATAGGGCCCATCCTCCTTCTCGCGAGTGGGTTGTCAAAAGAAACAAGAGGGCAGGAGAAAAATGTCCCCTGGAGACCACCGCCCCGCAGGGACACTTTTTTAACAGCCTCCGGCGGGTGATTGAAGTGCATAAAGTACTCTAAGAAATCGCCGTGGCCCGAGGGTTCAGCCAGCCAGCGCAAGAGGCATTGGCGAGAGAACTTCTTAAGGAATGGTTTGGCACTTTGCCTAGCCCAGCAGGCCGAGGGAGGTTTGTTGGTACGCCACCAGCTACGCATATCTGGGAAGGGCACCCGTCGTTTCTTGGGGGAGACGGGGAGAGGGCGAGCCACGCCCTAATCCTTAGGTGCTTTGGCACCCATAAGGGCTTAGTCCTGAGCCTGGAGGCCGCCTGGTGCAGACGAGACCAGCCCCGATAAGGGGTTCGGGCAAGCCTGATCTACAGAGGGTGGTTTGGCCGGCAGCACCTCTGCGCGAGCTCTCCACCTCGCTCGCTCTCTGTCCAGCAGATAGTCTGGGTAGAGGCCAGCTAGCCACCAGAACCAGGCGATCGGATCGTCCGCCACACTGGGAAGATCACTCTGAGTACCTCGTTTGCGACCTGGGTGAGGGACGGCCACTACACCGGCCTAAGTCTAGATGAACTAAGCGGCCGTTAACCCCAACCCTAGTTGAACCGATATTGAGCTAGACCATGCCATACAGGAGGAAAGAAGGGCGTCCTCTCCATCTCGGTTGAGATCATTGTGGGGTCGATCCTGCCATGCCTCGCTCCGGCGCCGCGGGCGGAGGGAGGGAGGAAATATGTAGAGGACCGCCGTCATGTTCGGGTCGACCCTGAGGCCGAGTTCCCGGGCCTTGGTGCACAGCTGGTTGACCCTAAGGGACGCATGGTGGGCCAGTTGTACCGGGTGTTGACTCCACGACAGTTGCGCATGGTCGTTTATGTACATGAAGGAGGCCCCTTGTTGTGAGAGGGTGATGATTGGTAGGGAGCAGAGGACGAAAGATCGGGACCATGGGGAACCTCGCGGGAGGACGATTGTGCCCATCGGGAGGAGAAGCAACGGTCCTGGCAAAAATCAGCTGCCGCTTCAAACAGTCAGCGTGGCCAGCCTTGGCCTACCAGAACCTCACGGAGGATTAACGGCTGAACCGAGGGTAGACCGAGTTGACATCTAGGGTGACGAGGAGCCCGTGGTAGCCTTGTCTTGCCATGGTCTCAGTATCATGAACGAGCGATTGGACAAGGTCCAGTGCCAATCTGAACGGGATAGCTCCGGCCACGTCCAGGTCACTCACGAAACGGTCCAAGAGTTTCTGCTCAATCAGCAAGCCACTGGTGAGAACATGGCCCTCCAGCTCCAAGACAACAGATACACCATAGCTGATGGACACGAATTGTTGAAGAAATGCTGCCTATTACAGCTGTGCGCTGTGGATGACCAATTCCTGGAAGAGTTCGGCAAGGAAGCTTCCAGGATCTAGATCACATACGATCTGCTCTACGATGACTATCTTACCAGATGGGCCAACGATTACCAAATCATAGCCAAGATGAGAGCCATTGAAGATAGGGACTGGAGCAATTTGCAAAGAAAGATTGACAAGGACTATTCCTTTCTTCATTACGCAGCCAGGTACATCCTTCATCACAGCAGTCTTGCTTAACTTGACCATGACCAACAATCATTTCTCCAAGTCTGTCATCACGTACATCTGGTGAAGGTCCCATACATGAATGTGACTGCAAAACGAATCACTGGGTAGGACTAGGTGGATTGTACTCTCAACAAGTTGAATGATGCGAACCATTGACTCCCACGCCTTTCTCAATGAATCTAGCGTGCCCCCGAACCGGAATTTTCATATTAAAGCATATGAATATAGTATGCCCCTTCATCCTCAATGCAGATGACCACCCATCTGGCATGGCAACCCGATTCCTTTTCCATTCTTGACCAGTTAACTGACTCAGTCACTGTTCCATCTTTATCGTGTTCCCATCACCTCTCCTCTGACGCGGCTTACTTCATCTGATCTTTCCAGCATGGTGACAGAACACCATGGATCCACGGGCAGCAGTCAGCACGTCAGCACAGCGCCAGGAGAATCCGCCGTCTCGTAGCTCGACATGCATCCCATTTGCAACCCAATCAGTTCTCTCCTGTAACAGATAACAATCAGCCTTCGAGCACTTCGCCCGCGCCCTCAACGCCTACAAGACTTTCCTCCCGAGATCATCATCCCAATCCTCGCGCAGCTCAGCAAGAACGACATGCACAACTTGATAGACGGCTTCCAGGACCCAAGAAGGTTCGGCCTTCGTCAAGAACACATGAAGTTACCCGAAAGCTCAAAAGTGACCTTGACACCAGCAGTTGAACTAACTCAGCTGCCCTCCTCACTTCCCTCTTCAAAACGATGGGATTTGCGGCGATATCAACACACAATTGAGCCAAGCCCATGGAGTGGGATGTGGGTCACAGGGTACGGAGACCGGATATTTGCCGCCGATTATCCGAAATTTCTCCCAACCCTACTTGTAAATGTGATCCTCCGTAGGCCCACCGGAGCAGAGGCTGTCTGAACGCCAGGCCGCGCCAACCCATTCCAGGTTCCTGGTCAATGCTAGACCCAGAAACGCGCTGATTGGCTGTAAAAATCAGGGGTAAGAAAAGAGGCAGAAGCCCCTGGCAGGGATCGCACGCGGCTCCGCGTTCACAACACCGCTTGCTGCGCACTGCACCCGCGGCACCACGGTCGGGAGAGCCGACGACAGACCTGATCTTGTTCATCTTGAACTATTTCGTCAGCGCTGAGACATTCCCACGTGCACCCTAATTTCCATCACCTTTTTTTGTCTCATACCTTTTCTGCCGTCCGCCGGTCGCGTGTTGCGATCGCCCTGCCACAACGTCAACCTCTTTCTGTACGTCTTGCTCCCTGCTTGTGTTGTGCTTCCACCTAGCCAGCCGCACGACCACCGTTTCATTGCAACCCTAGTCCAGTCCAATTGCTTGGTTGCTCTCCTGATCACGCTCGCACTGCTGTTATCTGTCCTTCCAACTTCTCGACCCCCGACAACACAAAAAAAAACACATATCCATCATCGTTGCGCACATCACATCTCGCAGATCTGCTGGATTAGGGCTAATCGATCTTGCGACGATCAAAAACCAACAGGACATCATCCTTGCGTAGTTGGCCAAAGGAGGAGCTCAGTCGATCGCCAGTCGCGCACATCAATTGTTTCACCCAACCTTGCGTTGATAAAGTACCGCATTATCTTTGATCGCATCGCGATACTTTCCGCCGTCGCGAAGCCTTCACCCCTACCGGATACGTGCCGCTCGCGGGAGCGCATTCTTTCCATCACTCTCACCACGAAAATAGTAGCAAAAGCACGAAACAAGTCAAGCCAGCAAAATGGGCGCATCAATGTCTATCTCCAGCCTCTTTGGCAAGCTCTTCGGCTCGAAAGAAGTCCGTATCCTAATGCTCGGTCTCGACGCTGCGGGCAAAACAACCATCCTGTACAAGCTCAAACTTAACCAGACCATGACCACCATCCCCACGGTTGGCTTCAACGTGGAGAACTTCACCTACAAGAACATCAAGTTCAACATGTGGGATGTCGGTGGGCAGGACAAGATCCGGCCTCTTTGGAGGCATTACTATAGCGGTAGGTGTCTCAGGGGGTTTCGTGATGGGGAGATAGGATGATTGACGAGTTGTGGAATAGGCACCCAGGCGCTGGTGTTCGTAGTCGATTCCGCCGACCACGCGAGAATCGATGAGGCTAAGACGGAGTTACATCGGATTTTGAACGATCGTGAGATGTCGGAGTGCTTGTTGCTGGTGTTTGCGAACAAACAGGATATTGCTGGTGGTATGTCCCCCTACCACTCTATCAGTCAATTCCCTTAATGGGGATTTAACGGATGCTGATGAGCGACACAGCCATGGACCCGCAAAAGATCACCGAAAAGCTCGAGCTGCACAAGCTGGGCGATCGGCCGTGGTACGTGCAGCCGGCCATTGCCATCGATGGCGAGGGCTTGACCGAGGGCTTTAGCTGGCTGTCAGACAACATTAAGAAGCTGCCCAAGTATGGCGGGAAATGAGCTGCCAGCCGCTGCCAATGTAATGCAGAACAGTGAACGAAGCCGAACCGTTCTTGTCGAGGTTGGGATGGCTCTGCTTTGACTTGCTGTCTGGCTTCGTGAAGCGGTCTGCCCTTTCCGTTTCCCGTCTCCAAGTCACTTCTACGATCAAGGAAGGCATCAAAACAGCGGCACTGGTTACTTGAAGCGCCCTGCCGCGTCCTGTGGAATACCCAGCCCCTTTCGCCTGCCACAGGGGCATCTTAGTTAATACCGTCTTACCATTAATCTCTGGCTTTTGTTAGTTGTTATCATCATTATCCTGTACCCACGTCGTTATCGTCGTCAAATCCTGTCGTTTTTGTTGTTCTCTGATACCGTCTACCATACCATACCATCTACATGACCACAATTTTTCTGCCTACCTACATAATACCATACCAACCAGTCAATCCGGGTGAAAAAGGTGGAATGTATCCTTCTACCGTCCCACTTCTGGTCCATTTTCTCGGTTTACCTCTTTAGTACCGTTGAGCATAGTCGTCGCAAGTTGTTTTTTTTGGGGGGGAGGGGGGGAAGGGAAGGTGGGAGTTCAGAGAAGTTGGAGACGAGTGGAGTGAGTGCGATTATACCCCATGAGAAGACGTCGGGAAAGGAGGGTGGCACGCTTGTCGTTGAGGGAGTCCGCTTTAGAAATGGATGATAGCAATATGAAAACGAAATGCACAAGCTACACGGCTACACACGTACACATACTCAATTCCCATATCTGATCGATGGTGAATTCGTGCTTGGTTGGCGTCGGTCTCCCCGTGGAGCATTAAACCTGCCCTGCTTATATTGCTATGCAACCATAGGTCAGCAAGCCGAACCATGGTCTGGCCTTTTCACTACCGACAGTGCCTTGCCGGGTATTAAACACGAAGATATCTTTGGAAAATTGTGACCGGGTAGAGTTCCATTGCTGTGGTATCATTTATCATTAATTCCATTGTTATACATCCGTATGCCAAACACGAAATTCCTAGGCGAGTGAACTGAATCCCAGAACGCCAAACAGATATCCGTATAACACACAATGCCTCTCATCCATCAACCCTTACACGTTGCCCCAGCCTCAACAATTCTCCTGACCCTCTAGATCTCTAATAGACCTCTCCCCCCCGCGGATCCCTTCAATAGCTCCCAAGAACCCCCAACAACTAACCAAAACTTCGCATACGACCAATCACCCCTCCTTAACCCTCTTCCCACCCCCTCCCCCTGCCTCACCCCCCAAACTCCTCTTCACCCCCGTCAACCCCCCCGACCTATCCCCCCCTCCCAATCCACTCAAACTATCATCTTGACTGACTCTTCTCACAGGATACTCCGTCTTGCTCCCCTCAAAACAATTTGTTGCATTGACCGGGTCGCCCGTGCTAAAGAACGGATGCTGTAACGCCTGGGTGGCAGTGAGGCGCTTCTCAGGGTCGTATTCGAGCAGGCCCGAGAGGAGAGAGTAGCCTTCGGCGCCAAGGGAGGATAATGGCGAGGGACCTTGGGAGTGAGAGGGAGGAGAGATGGTGGTGTAGTACCATTTTTCTAGGTGGGAAGTTGATCCCAAGTTTCTTTGTTGCTGGGAGTTATAATGATGGGAGTGGTGATGATGATGGTGGTGGGAGTGGGATACGGGAGGGGTGAGGGTTGCGAGCTGGGAGTACTCCGGAGTACTTGTGAGAAGTGGCCAGCGCTCTTTTGTTGGCAAGCCCATGATATCCACGATTTTCTGCATCTGGTTGCGTTGAAAGGGAACAGTCTTCTTGCTGTCCATCTTGGCTTCCTCTCCCTTAAAGATCGGCCGGAGGGACAAGAGTTCAGCAAAGATGCAACCCACGGCCCACATGTCAATTGCTGGAGTATAATGTCTGCTTCCGAGTAGAAGCTCGGGTGCGCGGTACCATATCGTCACGACGACCTTGTCTCCGCTGTAAAGACTGTGCAGGGGTTTATACGACAGCCGGGCGAGCCCGAGATCCCCAATCTTGACCTCCCCCGCCGACGTGACCATGATATTCGCCGGCTTGAGGTCACGATGCAAAACCCAGTTCGAGTGCAGGTACTGACACCCGTTGAGCAACTGAAACATAATGCTCTTGATCGTGCTCGGCGGGATGGGATGCCTAGGCTGCTGCGTATGGTGGTGAATAATTTGCAGCAGATCATGCTCTGCATACTCGAACACCATAAAGATGCACTTATCCTCGAGAATGATCTCAATCAGCTTGATAATGTTGGGGTGACTCAGCTCCGAGCAGAGCGCCATCTCGCGGATGGCAGACTGCGAAATGCCCGTGTAGGTGGCCTGCTCTCCCTCTTTGTCGGGCTTGAACTTCTTGATGGCGAATTCACCCGGCTGGCCCTGGCGGCCGAGGGCCTTGTAGACGCGGCCATAGGTGCCGCTGCTGATGAAGCCGATGACCTTGTACTTGTCGGTCACGCGGACTTTGCTTTGGTAGCCCATCGGCCGGCGGTCGGGGTCTGGGAAAGGTTAGCTTCCACTCTGAACCACGCATGAAAAACCCCCATGAGACTTCATGAGACAAAACAATAGATGAACTGACACGGCCTGGACTGAAAGGCATCAGCCCTGTTCCTCCTCCCCCCCTGGCTCATCCCTCCCGCAGTAATAACTTCAGAATCTGTCCCGAACCCAGCAGCAAAAAAAGGCATAAAACTAAAACCCGCAGCCGCAGAGGCAGCAGCATGGAGCTGATGCATCTGACCAGCCACGGCCGTCGACGAACCCGTCGTGGTTACTGAAGATCTCAGTCCTGGCACAGGCCAGGGTAGATGACTATCGGCCCCATATGTTGCTGGCTTGGCACCAGTCGTCCCCCGAAAGCCAGCGGCGCTTCGCTGCTGCGACAACGGTGGAGCTCTCCAGAGGTTCTCCATGGCGTTAGGGGCTCAACGGTTCCGTCTCAAGGACAGTGCTGAGGGGGCACGGTAGGTATGCAAGACTGCTTGGAAGGCCGCGGCTCCTGCTGCAGCATCCTGCGTCTGACTGAGTGCAAAACAAACCCGACCCGAGCTCGAGAAGGGTGCACTAGCGCACAAGACAGCACAGCACAGCGGCCAGAGGATGTTGCTGTTCAGGGCGAGGTGTCGGGTAACCACAGGCGCGACGGTATCCAACAAACGCTGTTTGGACGGACGATGTACGTATGCGATGCGTCGTTACAAGAGCGCTGCCGTTGCTGCCGGGGCTAACAGGGGGGATATGTATTGAGGGGTAGACGATAGCAAGAGGAGACGAAAGAAGATGATGTCAATATGCCGGTGAGATTGACATCGGCAAGGATGATAAATAAAAAAAAATATGATGGACATCCTAAAAAAAAAACCCGGACTGATCATCCTTACCTTCTTCAACTAGCAAAAACAGGGCCTCAGCTCTTTGAATCAAGTCTCCAACTCACTCACTCAGTGCCCACGCCTGTAGGCCTAAGCACCTCTAGGCCCTGCGCGGCGGATCCCGCCAACCCAAACCTAAACCTAAACCAAAACCCACTCCGGGCCGGCAGCGGCGACGGCGGTGATAAGTGATGCTTGGCTGGGGTATGGATTTCTCGAGACAGTGCCTTGGGTGTGTGATATGAGGCTCGCAAACTCGCCGACAGACAGGTAACCGCAAGGAATGACCCAGCGATCCCTCAGCACAGGCCGCAACAGAGCAGGTCCTGGGTCAGCGACTTGGCAGCAAAGCCGCGTGGGCGTGGGAGGGATGACCGAACGGGACGAGTCAGCGCGCCGCAGGCGAGTGATGCTCGTTTGGGTTCTGCTTAAACCGGTTGGTTGCTTGATTTCTTGGTTTCTTGGTGGGAGTTGCTCCACTAATCTTAGATACTTGAGGAGAAACGGTGCGGCGGGAACGTGCTTTTCGTCAGAGGGTAACGATCCAATTGCGACGAGCGCGGATATCAATCTGCGTTGGGGTTTAGCTTAGCCGTAGGTAGTAGTGTAGGCAAATTTCCAAGCGGCGCTGCTGCTGACTGTGGCAACAGGAAATTTCGGATTTGTTGAGATGAAAAAAAAATGAAACTCTGGGAATGTGAGATGCGAGATGCGATGCAAGATGCAAGGTGCAACGAGAGAAAACAAGATGGACATCTTCCCGAAATGGCAGGCCGGGCGTCTGAAGCTCGGAACAGCTGGCTGACGCGTGACTCACTAACAGCATGTAATGGATATTTGCAGTAATTATGTTAAGGGGGACTTTGGGCTTGGCGCCCTGAGGTTGCCATGCAGTTTGGGTGCCTATGTCAAATAACACTGCACTTCCATGGGCGCGGTCGACTGCTCATAAAACGATTGCTGAATGAGGATCTCGATTCCAATGTCTTTCATTCAAGCTAGATACTGCAACCGTTATCCTAGCACATGATCGGAAATGAAAGGCAAAGGTGCCCATGGCAAAGCATCGGAACATCAGAAGATTGCATGTTTATGATCTCGATCGGCACTCCATTTCTTTAGATTCAGGATAATCACTCAACGAAACGAGCATGCTAGCTGTATGTCCTTATCATCCCTATGCCCTCTCAAACTGACCCATTACCAAGCGCCATCTATCTCGGCCCCAACTTCTCTAGCGCCCTAGCCCCCATCTCCTCCCACTCCTGCTTAGAAATCCACATATTCTCATTATCCGCCATAATATTGGCCAAGACCGCGCCCCCCAGGAAAACCATATGCCTCCTCCTCGGCGGATCCTCTATCCTAACCTTAAACTTGCTCAGCCGCTCTGGATTCCCGCCCAACACCCTTGTCAGCCAAAGCTGCTTGAGCTCCTTCTCCAGCCTTGACGGCAGCCCTGGGTACATGCTGCTGCCCCCGGACAGAACAATCGCCTTGAACAGCGACGCCCTGACATCCACGTCCGCCGACTGGATTGTGTTAAACAGCAGCTCCGCAATTCCCGGTTGGTCGCAGTCAACCAAATGCGGCTGGAACAGACACTCCGGAGCTTCGAAGCGCTCCGATCCGACGCGGATCACGCGTCCGTCGGGGAGGGTGTAGCTCTCAACTAGCACGGTAGTTTCCTCGCTCAGGCGCTTGTCGAGTTCGAGGTCGTAGGAGACGTAGCACAGCTTTTCTTTGATCTGGCGGACTGTTTCAAAGTCAGCCGTGCGGTTGAGCGCGTAGCCGCGGCGCAGGAGCAGCGCAATCAGGTTGCGGGTTACGTCGCGACCAGCGACGTCCAAGCGCCGGGTGAGGTGGTTGAGCACGACAGATTCGTAGACGGGCACGATGTGGGTTACGCCGTCGCCCGAGTCCACGACTACACCGGAGCTGAGACCTGGCTATCGTTAGCTTTTGTTAACATTAGAAAGGAGCAGCCATAGAGACATACCCTGCGCATACAATGCCAGTACCGCCTGAATCGCCACGTACACGCCACCAAACCCATACCGCTCAAACATCACCTCGCACATCTGCTCCCGATTCTTCAACGGATTGAGCGGCGGCTCGGTGAGTAGTATCTTCCTACCCCGGGGATCGACCTTCAACTTCTCGAAGAAGGTGTAATCCCACAAGTGCTGCATATCATCCCACTTTTTGACGATGCCGTTCTCCATCGGGTAGCTAATCTGCAGCAGCGAGCGCGCCGCCGCCGCCTCGTCGCCGCACATGATGTCCTTGATGACGAGGTCATCGCTGCCTTTTTCTTCCGTGCGCAGGATCGGGCGGCCAACGATCGATGGGTATTGGAATTCCGGGAAGTTTTGGCCCGCGTAGCCTACTTTGAGAAAGCCCGTGCCGCCGTCGAGGACTGCAGGCTGTTAGCAGGGGGTTACCTTGGGCAGGAGTAGGAAAGGGGTGAGCTAGCTTCAGGAGGATGCGTACCGATAGGAGGCGGGTTAGCCATTTTGATGTGGGAGGACTAAGATTAGAGCAAATAGAGAGAAGATTGGAAGTGCAAGCAGATCGCGGCGGCACGGCCAGAGAAGCGGACGAATGTTGATGTGGCCGTGGAACTGGAGGATGCCGCGTAGGTACGTTGGATGGTGGGGTTGTTACGGCGTGGTTACCGCCAGAGCTGCCTGCCAGAGCTGCAGCTCCCCTGCCCCTAACCCTGGCCGGGTGGGGCGGGAAGGGATCGGTGGGTCTGCTGACCGCTTCGCCTGGGATGAAACAGAAGGAGTGTCTCGGATAGATGCATATCAGTGCTGCATTCAATTACTGAGGTTCACCAGCATCATATCAACTCGACAGCGACTTCGAAGTTCAAGCTCGTGCAACTTGACAGTTTGGCCCCTCATATCGTCAATCACGAATTATCAAAATGTCGTCAATTTCGAATCCACCGCTGCACCCCAGCATCTTGCTGCTGAATCCCAACTCATCCGAGTCTATGACGTTGGGGATCTTGGAGGCGGCCGAGAAGATGCATCTCCCACAGGTTGGCCACCCTGACTTTCATAAGCACAAGCACAGCATCATGAGAGGACCTGACTGAGTTTTCAGTCACACGGGATCATGAGTGTATCTCTCGTTCCTTACCTTACTCTAAGATACTAACTCACTGCGTAGCGAATCCACCTTTCAGCTTACACTGCGCCCCCCTCAAGTCCCCGCAGCATCAACGACGGCTCGGACCTCGAACTCAGTACCGAAGTCGTCTACAACGACATAAAGTCAAAAACCCTCCTTTCCGCCCACGACGCAATCCTCGTAGCCTGCTTCAGCGTGCACCCCCTCGTCAAGGCCCTCTCCTCCCTCTCCACCAACAACAAACCCATCATAACAGGTATCTTTGAGTCCAGCATCCTCACCTGCCTCTCCCTCCTCTCCCCCACCGGAAAATGGGGCATCGTCACAACCGGCCAATTCTGGGAATTCCACCTCACCTCAGGCGTCAACTCTTTCCTAGGCATCACAGACCCCCACGCGAGCAATGCCAAGTTCGCTGGTGTCGAAAGCACGGGGCTGAACGCAAGCGATTTTCACGGGGGGGTTTCGCAGGAAGAGATCCGGCACAGGTTGAGGGAGGCGACAAGGAGGTTGCTGAGGAAGGGTAATATCGAGTGTGTCGTGATGGGGTGTGCGGGGATGGCGGGGCTGGAGGAGATTATTAGGGAGGTAGCGCAGGAGGAGTATGGGGAAAAAGGCAAGGAGGTTTGTGTGGTTGATGGGGTGAGGGCGGGGGTTAGTGTGCTTGAGCAGGCCGTGAGGAGTAGGAGGGCGTTCAGGGGGGTGGGGGGATAGAAAGAGCATGACTTAAGGTTGGGTGTAAAAAGAAGCATGATTATAGTAACTAGACGGCAAGCAACAAACCAAGACCTAAGTATCCAGTCTTGAAGGGCAGATCATGCCCAATCGTACTTCCTAGTCAACCCTCCTCTCCCTCCCCCAAACCTCCTCCCACCCCTTCCCCCTCGTCTCCGGCACCCTCTTGGTCACAAAAACACCCGCTGCGACCGCAAACCCCGCAAAAATAAAATACACCCATCCAGCCCCTCCCAGAACCCTATTCAGTTCCTCATTCACAATAGGAAACAAATAAGCCACCAAAAATGTCGCCACATAATTGGCCCCCAACGCCCAGCTCTGCGCAGCGCCCACCGCCTCGGGCCCGACCAGCTCCGACGCAAGGATAAACGGCACCGGCCCGAGTCCGACAGCGAAGAACGCCACGAAGAAGAGCACTGCAAATGCGGAGAGGAGTTTATAATTGAAGACGATGGACAGTGCGAGGATGAGGGAGCTTGTTCCCTGCCCGGCGATGGAGAGTAAGATGCAGGTTTTGCGGCCAAGGCGGTCGGGGAGCGGGGAGGAGGCGATTGTGGCGGCGAGGTTGATGATTGAGATGAGGATGGTGAGAATGCCTGAGCTGATGGGGAGCAAGTCCTTTAAGAGGGAGACGGAGTACATGATGATGGAGTTGATGCCACAGAGTTGTTGGGCGAACATGATACCTACTACGGCGAGGATCGCTGGGCGAGTGAGTGGGTCGGTTAGGACTTGGAGGAAGCCTAGTGTTATGGGCTTGCTGCGCGTAGGGGAGACAGGTTGAAGGAGGGACGGTGCTTCGGCTTCTTCATCAAGAAGACGCTGTCTTTCGGTTGGCGTCGGGGTCACTCCCCAAGAGGCAATCTCCTCCTCTACCCCCGAGCTCCGGCCCCTAATCCTCTGTAGAGCTCTCCTTGCCTTTGCAACATCGCCCTTCACACCCCCAAGCCATTTCGGACTCTCCACCACACCCCCCAACCCCACGATCTGCACAATCGCAATCCCAACCCCAACGATAAACACCCACCTCCATTCTCCCTTTCCCCCCTCACTCACAGAGTACCCAAGACTCTGAGTTCCCAAAATCCCCACATTCACCCCAACCTGCGTCCAACTCCCGAAAAACCCCCTCCTCTCAGCGGGAACAACCTCGCTAATATACAACGGCACAATCACGGTACTCGCACCGGCAGCGGTACCCGTCAGAAACCTCGACACGCCCAACGCGGGCGCGGAGGTAGCGAGGTATGCGATGACCGATCCAACGAGGAAAAAAAGGGAGGTGAAGCGCATGCAGAGGAGACGACCGTAGCGGGAGGTTAGCGGGCCGGAGGTCAAGGACCCGAGCAGACCGCCGAGGGTGAAGACAGAGGAGATAGCAGCAAAGGTGGGGGGTGTCATGGGAATGCAGTCGGTATCATTATCGACTTGTTTGGAGCTGAAAGAGAAAAAGCGGGAGACGATCGAGGGAGGTTTAGGCGATGCGCAGGTCAAGACATCTTGTGGGGCGTTGAGCTCGGCCTGGAAAGAGGGTTAGAATCATTTCATGCAGAGGAAACAGAGAGTGTGAGATACCAAGTGATAGCCGAACTGGAGTGGTCCCAGGACGGCGATGAGGACGAGGACCACCAGGTAGGGGGTGACGTCCTTTTGGGGGGACGTCATTTTGGTTGGGTCCGTAAGTCGAATATCTGATCGACTGCTAAATCATGGGCATGCAACGGAGAGTAGGCAGGCAAGCTGGACTTAAACTGGATATATAAGGCATGCAATCGGGCAGTGGTTGTCGGAGTTAAAACGAGGCTGACGTCGCCGTGTAACTCAGTCAGAGACGTTGCCAATCAGACGCGACGTCAATGCCGAGATGCCAAGACTGCGCTAGGTGCACTACCTTGATGGCTGCCAAGAAGCAGCTAATAATATCGCTAGAAGCATATGCGGCTTACAAGACAGACAAGATTCATCTTTTCATTCAAGATCTCCATGCTGCTGGACGCAAAGGTTTCTTTGAATTTGTCTTCGTTAGGAACATCACTTTCCAAGAGTCAACTGCTCCATCTAGAACGTATCACTCCTCCAGCCTCCCGCCAACGCATGCCTAACCCCCTCCTCCAAACTATCCAAATTCTCGGGCCCTAACCCCAACACCTCATTATCATTCCGCTCATAAAGTGTCCCCCCCTCAGCCCAAATCCGCCTCAATGTAACCAGTGTCGCGCGGGGGTCACCCTCTTCCCAAAGCTTACCCTCCAGCTCCTTAATCTCTTCCAGTGGCTTCTTAATGACTTCCCATTTAGCCCCCGTCTGCCGTTCATACTCAGCCAGCACCTGGTTCGGCGTAACGATGAAGGACTGGACTTTCAGAGCCTTGTCGAAGGATTCTTCAGGGTGGCGGAGAGTTGCTAGGACGAAGCGGCCGACGCTGTATATTATCAGTCAGCGTCATGCTCACAACTTGGGTGTATAAGAATGAGACGTACTCCTTCATAGTACAAAACCCAACCCTCTCCTCCCCATTCCCAATGACGTACGCCTTCTTTTTCTCCGCCACAAAACCCCCCGCCCCCTCCAACCCAGCATGCGCATTAACCCACATATCGAAGTACGGTCCTGTCACCACATACGTCACCCTTACCCTCTTCAAATTCTCCCTAATATACTTCCTTACAGCCAACTTCACTTGATGCGGCTTCTCGTAAGGACTCTTCTCGTTATGTTCAATGTCCGTTCCAAATTCCGACGGGAGGAACCATTTCACGCTTCCTGACTCTTCAGCCAGCTGCAATAATTTAATCTGATGCTGCAGCCCCGTCCTGCCAACCGCCGAAATGACAGTATCCGCCCCAGAATTTTGATATGCAGCGCGGATGTCGGACTCCGAGGTCAGATCTCCCACGATGAGGGAGAGGCCTTGGGACTGCCAATTGGTGAGGAGGGGGGCTTTGGAGGTGTGCGAGGCAGGGGAGGTGAAGAGGGTGACTTGCTGGAAGGGGGGGTTGGCGTGTAAGAGGGAAGAGGTGATGTAGCGGCCGATGGTGCCTGTGCCGCCGAAGATTAGGATGCGCGAGGGGTTGAAGGACATTTTGAGCCTGATGATCAAGGTTAGACTGTAAGAGTGTGAGTGTGATAATCCTCGTTGGATGACGCTAGCTTGAGCCTTGAATAAAATGAGTGAGCCCAGGAAGCCCGAGTCTTTCAGAGAAAAAATGCGGTTCCGTATGCCTTATATCCGACGAACGAGTGGATGCTTCACGGCAGGCGCAAACGCAATCACTCAAGCAAAGGGCGCGATGGCCTCATCGGCGTAGCGTATCCGTGGACACTGCCCCTCTCAGACCCCGCCTGCCGGTTCTCCCGCCCAAGAACCCACTTGGACCTCGGGCTACGATCCTTGCTGCATTTGAGATGCCCGGAACTTGATGTCGAAAACTGCGACACAAGACTTCTACGGCAGGACACTGAAATCATTATCCAGTTGCCATCTTGATTGCTCAGTGCATCGTCGGTGGACGGCTTTTGACAACAGGGTCCAAGGCATCCTGCGTACGACTTATCTTGGAAGTACCGGTACACAGGAACAGATTAGCCCACCCACGCTTGGTCATGGTTCACTTGCCAGCCCTTTATCTGTCTGTCAATAGACAGATTTTGGCTTCAAAATGCACATATCTGATACTTCCCTGAGTATTTTGGATGGTTAATATTCAGTTTATCCTACACAATCATCTAAAAACCGACTGCATTTGTTTGCAAATCTAAAGAACTGAGGCACCTCTACATGGGGGCTACCTTATCGATAAGTTGGTCCGCACAGCGAGGCATGTGGGGTCAATCATCAGCCCCTCTCATTGGTCAATCCACCTGCAGCACAGCAGCGACAATTTTTTTGCAACCCAAACTTTCGCTTTGTCTTCGCGACTTCGATCAATCAACCGCCGCGCCAACGAAACTACCACCCCACCATCGCCATGTCTGCAGCCACCGCCGGCGATCCGCACGCTGCGGAAGTCCCCAGCAGCCAGCCTACCGAGAAAAAGCACAAGCGCTCCAAGTCCGACCACAAGAAGAAGCGGTTGCGCGAGGACGATGACGGCGCCGTGGTAGCTGAGACTCCGCGCAAGCAGAAGAAGACCAAGAGCGAGAGCGCCGATGAGGCGGAGGTAGAGAAGTCGCACGAGGTGGTGGATGAGAAGGTCGAGAAGAAAAAGAAGAAGAAGAGTAAAGAGGAGGGCGAAGATGGAACGAACAAGAAGGAGAAGAAGAGCAAACGCAGAGAATCTGCTGTGATGGACGCCATGGATGTGGATGGCACCGAGGAGAAGACCGAGAAGAAAAAGAAGAAGGACAAGAAGAGGATAGATGACACGCAAGAAGCCGAGCCTTCAGATGAGGAGAAGAAAGATAAGAAGAAAAAGAAGCACAAACCCAAAGAGCCCGTCACGATGGACATTCCCATCCGCGAAGCACAGCCGAGCACCGACATCCCCTCCGACTCCGACTTCCCCTTCTACACGCAAACCATCTCCCTCTATGTCCCCTTCTTCCCCGCCGGTTTCGATAAACCCCTCACAAACATCGCCGCCCAGCACCTCGACCCCCTACTCAACCACTACTCCCCCATCTTGCGTGGCGTCCTCCTCAGCTACTCCAACCTCAACCTGTCCGACCGCCCGGTCAGAGCAAGCACCATCCATCCCCCGACAGATCAAACACCTGCCCTGCTGCACTCCATCAACGAGTACGCCGTCGGCTTTGGCTGGCTCACTTTCGACGCGCACCTGTTTGTCCCCGCCCGCGGGAAATGGATGGAAGGTGTCGTGCAACTCCAAAACGAAGGCCACATTGGCGTTGTATGCTGGAATAAGTTCAACGCCAGCATCGAGGCGAAGCGTCTCCCCAAGGGCTGGAGGTGGGTCGACCTAGCCAAGGGTAACGCTAACCCCAAACCGGAGCCTCCAGCAGAAGAACAACCACAAGACTCCTCCAAATCCGACTCCTCCGACGCCCTCGACGGCGAAGAACTTCAAGTTATCGAGCAGATGCACACCACCGGCTACTGGGTCACTGCCCAAGGCAAGCGCGTCTCTGGCAAACTGCGCTTCCGCATCAAAAATTTTGATGTCGGTCTTGCAGGCGACTACGGATACCTCTCCATCGAAGGTACTTGCTTGGATGACGCTGAAGAACAAGCGCTCGCGGCTCAGGAACGCGAAATGGAGCGTCAGCGCCGCGCCAAGCAGCAGGCGCGGGGGGGGTTGTTGAGACCCATGTCAAGAAGGGTGCCCGAGTTCAGTATGACAAGGTTTGGGCGCGAGGAGCAGGAGGAAGATGGGCAGGGCAGGGCGGTGCTATATCGCGGGAGCAGGCCCGGAACGCCTGATGACTAGGTGTGGGTGTTCGGCGTTGCGAGGTGGGGCTTGCCGGGAGGGAGTTCGCCTTTGTCGGCGAGTGCCGCGGGTTCGGTGGGCAGGAGGGGGGTGAGGAGTCCGGGGTTTCGTTGAGTTGGTGGCCTAATTGGTAGTTTTCTAAGTTTCTCATCGCATGGTGCGGGTTTGGGATTTAAAATCACTTCATATTGCTAGATTTGGCGGCATTTGCTCTTTGTTCTTTCTTCGAATGGCGAACAATGGGCTGGGGCGGGATCGTTATAGACTCGAGTGTTTTATCGTGTCATATCTGGAAGGACGGAAAATAATTGTGTTAACTGGGAAGACAGGACTCAGACCTCTTTTGCCAGGTGTTTTAGGAATGGATTACGTGACCACTTGTGTTATGTCTGTTGCGTAATTTACAAAGTTGACTCCCCGTATCCCAGATTTCCGAAGACGGCGTCAAATCTGGTCAATACCTGTACCGTAATGCCTCATCTGTAAGAACCATAGGTCTGAGTACTAGGGGAATAGCAGCGCTGTTTGGTGATGCAACGCATGGATCCTGGCTTCATGACTATGTTAGCAAGAAGATTTGTGATGAGGGAGGGGACGAGACACTCATGATGGCTTGTGTTGGGCATGAACTTGGTTTGCTGCTGTCAGGATGATGTCGTCTTACGTTTAGCCTAACTGTTGTTTGTTGTAACCACTTAGTATCGCTAGGCTGGAAATGGCTTCATATTCGAACTGTTAGTCAGATGCGGTGTTTCGAATCCCAGCATGCTTGATGCTCGATTCCATTCGTTAAAGCCGCGATGTCGCCCCTCTAGTTCCTGTCGTGTTGCTATTAGACAACATCCACTGAGAGAGCTGTGCGCCTTCTCATTCGTCTCTCCAAACCAACGCTACGCTGCGTCGGGTCAACTCCGAGTGACGCTCAGTATGAGATAAAACAGCTTTTCAGAAAAGGCAGCTTCTCACTTCCTGGTCGAGCTGCATCTCTATCTCTCTCTCTTTCTTTTTTTTGTCCTTCATATTCCAATCTAGAAGATTTGCCTACCTAAACACCCACCTGCCAAATATCCATTGGTATATAGTCTGCCCTCCATAGGCTACGGGTGGTTGTCTCCGGACTCCCCTCCGGCTCTCTAGGTCCTGCCCCTGTGCTTTTAGAAAACTAGAAACTAGTGCTTCAAATCTCGCGCGAAGAAAGGAAAATTGCCGTGATGCTTTTTTTAAACAAATAAACGACCTCCACTTTGAGTTGTTTCAAACAAGTACAAAGAGAAGTCAGGTCTACTGACTAAAAGCAGAAGCCTTAAAAGTGTCGCGACCAACAGGGGCTCGATCTCGAAGAGTGGATTCCGTGCAGCAAACTGATCGGAGTAAAAGGGAGTTGTGACCCATCAAACCTAGATGTCCACCCCTAACGATCCCACGCATTGGGCAGGCGTTCCTCAACACTAGGAAGCTTAATCCTCAACACCCAAGGATGTTGACCCTCAACAATCTGTGCCATTTAGCAGGAGGGAACAAGGGAAAGGGTGTATGAGATGTATATAGATTGCAGGCAGGGCCATCGGGTCCTATACAGATGATTTTGATTCTGCTCTTCTTCACCTGACTCGTGGATCCAGAAACAGCCTAGTCACAATGGAGCTAAGCCGTCAGGAACCTAGCAGCAGTCGGAAAGCCTGTCTGTCTGCCTTCTCTAGGGGGAGATACCGGATTTGACCGAAACCCCCAGTTACCACTACATTGGAAAATCATGGATATTTGCATGCATATGTGTTAGCTTGGTGCTGACTTTTGGCTCTGTCGCCAAAAAGTATGACCGTGGTGACTTGCACTTAGTAAACTGAACACTAGGAGTTGGGTGGCTTGGGTGGTGAAGAAACTCTTGCTTGTGCAAATAAAGTTATTCAAATAAAATTCCGCAAACGTCAAGAACTGCCGATCGATGGTATAAATGTGCGGTATTTTGCTCAAGTTGTTGAGTTCCAGTGCCATGGAATCTGGGTCAGAGCAGTGTCAAGTTCGTAGTCTGATTGTCTAGTAAAGCGCTTAGTGTGCAAGTACTGATTTCGTCATCTCGCTGGTCAGTTCCTTAGCATGAGTGCTTTAGTTAATTGGCTTCTGAGTTTTTTTCACATTAAATATGTCTTGAAATCAATCGTCCCAAATGCTCAGAAACTAGTGCCAGTTGGTGAGCAGGCACAGGGTTTGTGCATCTTATCTGACCAATATTGGTCGACAATGAGATAGTTACTGATATCAATTGAACAGCAAACACAGCTTTGCCATTAACTCAGAATGCCTAAGGCTCTCTGGCCCCTCCTGCCACTCAGCCAGAGCCCCACAATGGCCCTTTTACAACATCTGAACGAAACTCTACATCTCATCCTTACTCAACACCACTAATTCACACACCACAGCCAATAACAATTCAATTTTCCATTGCAGCGGCAAGAGATGCCGGCACTACTGACTGTACTCCAAATGACAGGTGTCGGTCTGAGAGTTCTGCAAAATTCGGTGTTGTTTTTGCTAGCAATGCTGTGATACAAGGGTCTCATGGGAATGTTGGGACAATGGGTGGTTGAGGGTTGATATTTGTTCTTCATCCCACATGCACATAGGGCTTTTGCTCTTGTTTTTTCCCCTGCCTGGCTTACAGGCCCTTTTCTCGTGCCTTGAAGCTTTCTGGGCGTCAGGGTTCTAATGGGGCGTTTGGGGTTTGGTTTGGCCTTCTGTGTTCTAGTTACGCTTTGCAGATAATGTTGTTGTAGCCAGCATAGTACCAGTCAGAATTGACAAAAGTTCAGCTGATCAACACCCTTGATTTGCTTGCCTGGAGGGTATTGCTAAACTTATAGAGAGTGCTTGAAAAACAATCCTACAAAGAATAGACAATTGGATTAAATCAACTGCTCAAAACCGCAGATAATCTGAGTGAACACGCAGGTTGGACCAGTGGTAACAAATATCATGCAGAGAGGAAAGTGCTCAAAGCTTGCTGTATGTTTAGCACACCTGCCTCTTTACATGTCATAGTTAGTATCCAACATGCTCTAGGAAACCTATCAAAGTACAGCAGCTTTCAACCTTGTTAAACAGAGCTGCGACCGGATCCCGCCTTCTCCTAAGTCTTACAAGAAGCAGCTCAGAGCTGCTTCCAACATAAAATAGGCTGCAGATATTACATATGGATGACAAAGATATACCCCCTTTCGCTGTCCGTCAAGCTTATGATGCACCTCCTGACTACATGGAAGCAAAGAGCCAATTAACTCCAAGAAGCAGAATTCAACAGCTTCCGTGACTGGAAAGATGAGTACTCGCTGCAATCCGATTGAAGAGACTGCATGTCTGCAGCTAAATCTAGGTAGTTAATGGGCTAGCTATTTTCTCGCACACATAGCAGATGTGCTCAGGAACGATACAATATCTATTTCCAGATAGATGTCTTCTTGAGAGCATATATTTGCGGACCGTGCTGTAATGACTCTTCGAGATAGTCAACTCCATGAGTTAACATACATAAAGCTTCATAGCCAATATCAACTCTTCACCTGCTACTCTGGGAAGAGTTGTGATATTTGAGTATGGCCTACATTGAGTATGGCCTACATGTTGTTACACAAAACCAGCTTACACAACAGAATGTCACATGGTACATAAACTTTCAAAGTTGTTAGGTTTCTGCAAGTTCTTGTCCATGGCAACCAACCGCTGGCCATAGCCCACAGATTTGCTTTTTATTCGTCAGTTGTCGCTGAGCTGGAAACCGGTCCGGTTGTGCCGGGCGGGAATCGTGCTGCACGTGTAAGCACACATGGGGAATCAAGAATCTGGAACTCGGTGTCTTCCTGAAGTGGTCTAGAACCAGTTCCTCACATAGTAGGTACTTAAACTACCACACGCTCCACGGCCGCGTCACATAAGATGTGATAAGTAGACCCGAACTGCTAGCTAACAATGGTCTGGCTTAGAGGGCAGGGACTCTAAACAGAACTTATTGATTGACAACAGGCTTGAGTTGGCATGTTGCATTGGATAAGGCGGCATGGTACGGCTGTATGGGAGGGAAAAAGCTGCGACACCCGCGCGGCTTGGTGGGGGTAGGGCTATAAGCTTAGAGGCGGGAGGAGGGGAAGTCGTAGGTAAAACAAGTCCTCTTGTCTCTAACAGCTGACAGGCTCTCTCCCAGGCCCTTTATGCGACGTACTAACGTAGTTGTTCTCAGCCTAGCTATAAAATTGTTCTAATCCTTCTGGGGAGCAAGTATGCCTTGGATATGTGGAAGCTCACGATTACCTCCCAGTCAAGACTCAGGCGATGTAAACAATCCCCGAGCCCCGTTAGTGCTCGTAATCCAGCCAGAACAGCATACAATTGGTGTCCAAACTGCAGCGTTTCCAAGTTGCCGAGCCCAGCATCACCTTGTTTTACCGGTATCATAGTTTGTTGATACCATATCAGCGCAGTATCTTTCTGTGACTTACAACTACGTTATGTCCGCACTGTATTGGATGGCTTGATGAGTAAAGAGACACCCTCAAGTCTTGCTAATTGCCAACCTTCCGGACATTCCGCAAGAGTCCAGAACATGGTTGATTGGAAAACACTTATTTGCTTGAAAAATGGTGCATGGCACAGCCACATCCGCCCTCTCAAATTGTGCCTTGCAAAATCGAGTACTGGTGGTCTCCCATAAGGTTCTCCATGGTCCCCAATCCTCTTCCTCCTGCACTTCCTACCAATTATCATCCACTCGCAACAAGAATCTGCGTTTATGTACATGGACGGCCACGCACAACTCTCATGGAGCAAGCACCCAGTGCAACTAGCCCACCACGCATCCCTCAGGGTTGGCCAACTATGCACCAAGGCCCGGGGGCTCTGCCTCACAATCGATCCTAACAAGACAGAGGTCCTGTATATTCCCCCCGGGGGGCTGGGGCAAAGCGAGGCACGTTTGATCTCGCAAGCATTTCGACATAGGTGGAAGGGGCGTCATTTTCCCCTGGCAAATCCATCAAGTGGCTGGGCGTCTCGCTGAACCCCAAGCTCAGCCCTGTAACGCAGGCGGCCGCGAGGGCGTCTGCAACGATTGCGGTGGTGGGGTTGGTCAAGCGCCTGTCTAACACGAGGGTCCGGGGATTCCCCCGCGGCTGGCCCCAACATCTTCAACGCAGTCGTCACTCCCTCCCTTCTCTACGGCATGGTCCAACTTGACACCAGCCCACATAGGGCGGGGGTCAACGGCTGCTTGGTCTCATCCAGGCTCGCATCGGTGTGGTCATCTCTCACTAAGGTTGCAAACGCAGCACTGAGGGCGATATTCCCTGTGTGGAGGACAATACCAACCCCGTGGCTCTGGTGGCTTGCCGGCCTCTATCCTGAGTACTTGATGGACAAAGAACAAGTACGGTGGGGGAACCGCATTGTGATATTACCGGCTAGCCACCCTCTGTGGATTAGGCTTGCCCAACCCCCTTATCGCGGTTGGTCCCGCTTGCACCAAGCAGCCTCTGGCCTGAGGGCTAGGCCCCAGTGGGAGCCCAAATGCGCGGGCATCAGGGCGTGGCTTGTCCTCCTTTCCTCTCCTCCCAAGAAACGTCGCGTCCCTTCCCCGGACATGCACAGATGGTCGCAGGCCAACAGACCCCCCTCTGCTCGATGGAACAGGCACTCGGCCAAGCCCTTCCTCGAGAATTTTTCCCGGCAGTGCCTCTCCCGCTGGTTGGCAGAGACCTCGGGTCACGGCGACTTCCTGAAGTACCACACGCGGTTCAACCACTCCCCAGAGGCTAATAAAGAACGCCCCTGCGGCGGTGCGGTGTCCAGAAGCCACTTCTTTTCCTGTCCTCTCACCTCCTTCAACAACCCACTTGTTGGCAGGCTAGACCCTGGGGGCAAGCCTGGGACGCTGCCACAGGGCACCCTATCCCGTTACCACACCTCCCTCGCTCCCCTCTCGCAAGCCCGCCCCAAACCCAACGTGCGGATCTAAACTCCCAGCCTAACGACCCGGAGTAGGTCCCAACGAGGCACATGCCTGGGGCCGGCCGGTTTCAATAACCTTCCCCTGCCCATAGTACACTGCACTCCCTCTAACCCACGCCGGTTTTACCCTATGCAGCTTTCCCCCGGCGTTACCTGTATTTAATCCTACTCAAATAGCTTTTGCCCGCCGGCGTCGAGGGCACGACCCAGCACCCTCGGTGGTGAACCCGATCGAAAAATAGATTAGATAAATAAATAAATAAATAAATAAATAAATAAATAAATAAATAAATCGAGTACTGGGCTCACAGAGAAATAAGGGCAAAACTATATTATTATACAAGCTAAACTTCAAAAGCTCGCGTTCTCACCATACAAAGCTGGCAAATTACCAGCTCACTGGTCTTAGACATTAAGTTGTAGATAATTCTGGGCAAGAACAAAGCTGGTGAACAAAGTTTGAGTCCCTCCTTTAAGCCCATTGCAGTAATATAACTGGTGAATAGAAGGGGGATATGCTAACACACCTGCCATTGTGCAATTAGAATAGCCAAGAATCAACAATGTAAAGCCCAATCGAGAGCAAACTAACTACCTTTACTACGTTGACCCCAGTGTAGTAGCCTGCTAGTGGTATGGCTGCTGGTATCATCTGGTCATAGCAAAGAGGTGATCGAAAAGTGTTTAACTTGAATGTAAGTCAACTATGCCAACTATGCCACGAAGTAATTCTTGCATGGAACTAGTCGCCGGCCGGTTTTCTACAGCCTTTGGGAACAGTCCCGAGCGAGCAGACCATTGTAGGCAGCTGCTTACTGTTCATGTCAAAAGAGCCAACGTTCTCCTCGCCAGGTGCCTACCAGGTACGTTTTAGCACAATGCTGCTCACACTCTTCCACCCCTGCCCCCCCCCCCCGATCGAACACCGGGGAAATACCGCGTTTTAGGGTCAAATAGGCCCGGAATCGACTCCGAGTTACCCGGTCTAGCATTTGATCTGCCTCACTCAATATCAAGGCTTTCCAGCATGCTCGGCCTGGCAATCCGCTCGTGACATGAATTGGCAGTCTTGAACTTTTCCAAAAAAAATTGACTTAGCTTTAGCAACTGTGCCTACTAGGCAATGACACTGGCACATGACACCCTGGAGCGTCTCGCTGCGTATATATATAAAGCCCCCCGGCCCTTCGTTAAATTTCTTTCGTTCTTATTATTTGAAACTTATATTACGAACCTCTCGTTCCCTCCCTGACTGCTCATGCCCAGCTTTGGTCGCCCAGATCCCTAATTTGTGACACGTCACTGTGAGACCCCCGCTGCGTGGAGAGCACTTTCGCTGAGCTCTCCTGCATATCATGCTGCCGCGAGCCATACCATATCGACCTCGTTATCACACAACCTACCAGTCCAAGTTCAAAATGTCACTTGTCGGCTCCCTTGATCTCAAACTAGTAATTAATCACTTCTTGAGTCTCTTATGCTTCCGGCCTACGCGTATATCGGGGGTTCCAGATGATGAGCAATGCCCATTCAGTCAACAAGCACGCAGAGCTAAGCTTCAACAAACATCAGGCATTCAGCTGGGTACATGAATGTACAATTCCATATCTATGCCTTTCATCCAACCTACAGTCTAATACCAATCCTATCGCCAAAAGAGATGTAGCCCACGCACACATTCAGGTTCATCTTCCACACAGACAAGCTAACCCCTATCCTTCTCCCTTCTTCCTTGCCACATGTCCAGCCACAAAGTATTGGCCATTATGCCTCGCGAACCTAGAATTTCAGAAACGATGAATAAATGCTAACACCATCTACACAGCTATGGAACCGATCCAACCACACCCGCATATCACTCAGAATGACAGAGTACAATTGAGCGAAGAAACATGATCACACCACACCCTCCAATATCACTACAGGTGCCTGCTACACACTCAATCAACTTTTATAATTATACTTGGATGCAATCAACCAGTTCATCTCAGGTCGGAGCCATTTATTCACAGCAGACTGCGGTCCTAGGGACTGATGGGACTGTCATGTCAATGGGACGTTGAATATTGGGGTGAATTCAATCCCTGATTTGCCTTCCCAACGGAGGGGCCAAAAGCAAGATTAAAGAGCGACTTCATCATCGATAGACGCCGTATCACGGGATGGAAGGTATTCAGACGTTCAAGTTGTCATTTCTCTGCTTGACAACCTATTTATTCCTTTCTCCTTTGCTTCTCGAGAGACTTTACTTCTCATACGTTATAGACCATACCATGTGTACAATCTTGACTGTACCGTGTGCACAAAGGAGACTCTCTTATGTCCAGATTATGTGATGCAACGTCATCCACTTCTTCTAGGTGGATACTTTGCTCAGCACGGCTTACTTACGTTCATGTTGTTTATGCTATGCTTTTGGTCAATACGTTTATATCATAAGGTTAACTTTCAGGATGATCTTTATAGGCTATATATGATGTGGTGGAAGGAGACAGGCAGTGTGGCGTGGACTGGAGAGGAAGACCAAGGAGTGGATGTGGGACAAGCCCCCCATTGACTCTGACATTATATTTCCTTTCTCTGGTTGCAATCGTTGTCTGCTTCCTCAGAACGTTATACTCCTTCTTTACTTTTGATGACTACAACTTGTTTCTTCAATGCTTTTCTCAATATAACTTACATATTCTATATCCATGGACCCGATTTGAAGCACTTCGGTCTCCCGATGACCTCCGGTCAGGTTCAGATCAGTCCAAACCGCTCTCTCCTGCAATTGAGAGGGAGCGTTGCTGCCTGTATGTGACACTTCCATATAACATTGCCCGGGCAAACCAGAAGGAGAACGGCAACATCATCTCGTGGCCTTGACCATAGGGGGCATAAGGGATGGCAAGACAAAATGGATGTTATGCTAATCTCTCAGCTGCAGAACGTAGTTCCAATGACGATCCCGGCTTGCGTCGTACGGAAGGCAACCGACCTACTATCTGTCCCAAATGCTCCACAGCATGGCCTTGTCGACTGGCCGGCTGCTGACCATCTTTAACCTGTTCGGTAATGACTTTTCAATGGCATTATCTGAGAATCGAACAGGGCCATCTTCGTCTTATACCTATGAAGGCAAATGACCAGCTGGCGGCCTTCAAAAGAGACCCTCACTTTCGCCACTGTAGGCAGAACAGGGCCGAGCCTCTGGGTGTTAATAAGGAAGGATTAAGCAGAAAGCGTGTCGACAATCTAGAAATTTTGTGTCACGATGGAATGAACACTCGGACTTAAAAGTTGAATTGACCCTCTTAACTTGATGTCAATATCAATCCCAGTCTCAACGAGGTACTGCTCTCCTTCAAGACAAGAAACCAGAGAGTTTCGAGACCTCAATTATCGGTAAACCTACCTAGCCTAAGGTCATTCAATCCTGTTTACGCCTACCCCATCTAAGCGATTGGCGCTTTCTCAGTCCGGCCAACGCCCTCACCGCAGTCCTTGCGCTGTCGCCAAGCAAAGGCAATATGAACACCCTCCGCTCCCTCCTCTCCTGCTTGCCCATGAAGGGCAAAAAACAAGACTTCTACACCGAACTCATTTACGACACCACAGACGGCGAGAAGATAGCTATCTACCTGGAAGATGATGCCATCCCTTACACAGACGAGGACATCCCCCTCTACCGCGACGAAGACACCGCCGAAAAGGAGAAGACACCCTCGACCTCAGGCAAAGAGGATGCCCTCATGCCATACACAGACGGAGACATACTTTTCTCCCACGGCCATATCGATAAAGACTTAATTGCCGACCCTGTGCCTCTTCACGTCGAGAATGCCAGCCTTTTCCCGTCTTCTCCAGCAATGCCTTTCCCCAATCCAGCACACGCTATCCTCCCCTCTCTCCCAAATCAACACCTCTTCCCTTCCCCCTTCACTTTCTCCACCAAACTCCCAAATCTGAAAGAAATTCCTAGCCCAGAAGACCAACAAGTCGCCCTGCGCTTCGTCACCCTCCTCGTTACACTCCCTTCCACCCATCCAACACCCGCCCAGCTCACAGCAGTCCTCTTCCACACAGTCGACGCAATCGGACAAGGCAGGGAGAACCTCGGTCCAGCAATGAGAGAGGCTTTGGATGAAATCGTGCCTGTGGCAGATGAAGTTTTTAACTTCCCCCGGAACCACCCAGAGAGTTTGGGGGGTTTCCTTATGATTGTGGGGGTCGGGGTACTGGGGGAGATGATTGGAGGGTGGGCGGTGGGGAAATTGGGGTTTGTTTTTGAGAATTTGAATGATGTTGAAGGGGAAGGGGAGATTGGGGATGGTTTCGTGGGGGAAATGGGGATGGGGGAGATGGGGGAACAATATATGGGAACTGATAGTGCGAGGATGAGGGCTAGGGTTGTCTATGGGGAGGATAGTCCACAAGTTAAGATCAAGGAAGGAACGGTGGCCGAGTGGTGGATGCGCGAGTACGCCGCCTACATCCCTCCCGGCTCAGTGGAGGAGTATCTTCGCCTACTGGACCTTCAAGACGACGACTAATCCTCAACTTGATCAATCCTCCATAAAGCACAACAGCAGAGTCTCCGTCGTTGTGCTGCGTGTCGAGGAGGGCAGAGAACCTTTGTGGTTGGAGGATCTGATACCGGTTCGATATGTGCGGGGCAAGTGGGGTAAGACAAGCGCACGACAGCCCAATAGCGCCGCGTTATGATACGTAAACATCAGCGCATCATTTGCGCGCAATGGACAGGAGACAGGAGCGGTTATGGCGGTTGCAGAGGGTTACGTAGGAAACTTTGTGTTGAAAATTTTTCAAGTTTTGCAACTCGGGAATTGAGTTATGGTACACGATGTTCCGCTCTCGAGACCCGTGGCGTGAGACGGGTTTTTGTGTGGTTACGGATCTTCGCCTGTCGGGTGCTGCCGGAGGATTCTGAGGGTCCACTGCCGTTGCATCCCCAGCCGGGCGGCTGAGCGTAATCATTACAGGTAACATTTGAGCGTTACAGAGTTGAAACCAGGCCACGAGAAATTAAAAAAAAAATTATTCAGCAGAGAAACAATAAAAGCCCAGCATCAAATAATTGAAACAGAATTGGCCAGACCCCAGCAAAACGTGCATCAAAATAGCAGCACTAGGGCATCACGCGAACGGTTCAGGGGGGACCATTTTCAGGGTGCGCCATTTCCTCATGGCGATTGGCATCTCGCTGGGAAATGGCATTTGCGCGCGTTGGGCAAGAAGGGGCCAGTCAAGGGTGGGCTTGGCGGCGTATGGCCCCACTGCCAATTCGCCGGGGCGGGAGATTTGACGGGTGCCCAAGCCGCCAAAATTGGCTTTTGGGCCATGGTACACCGTGCATTGGCGATCTGGACCGCCATGGGCCTTGGCCCTTCGGCACCCCCTTTCGTTGCGGTCATTGCAGGGTTGGGAGGGTAATTTAAGTTAGAAGCGTCCTCGTTGAAGTCGAGATGTCTTTGTGTGGCTGTCTGAACTCGCAAATCTTTCTTCGAAGGGATTCAGTTTGCCAACAAGATCAGGATTCGCCAGCACATGTCAACAGCGCCAAAGCGTCATCTCAAACACGCTTCTATCGGGCGGCCGCAGTCACCGACGGAGACGCAGCGCCAATTCGTATCCACAGCCAGGTCTGCCAGGTCGGTAATGACGACGTCTATGATCTGACCTGGGCCATCGCGGACCATCGCCAATCAGGGACTCCCACGCTTGTGCTGCAGCACGCCAGTGTCATTAGACGCTGTCCTAGTCTATATCAGGGCAGTCACGGAGCACGATTACAGCTGTGCTGCCTTCATCTGATACCGCCGCTTGCTACACATTGATATAAAGCTCGATCTGGATCCGGCTTGACTTAATCTAGATTCTCGCGGCTGCACTGCGCCACAATCCGTTGCAACTGCGATAACTGCGACTTGATTTCACTAGACTCACACTGAAGACTCAGCTATCTCTGCTACTCTTCGACACAACCACCCACAACCTGCACGCGCACGCCACCGACGTCACCCATAGCCGCTCCCAAATTCCAATGATTTTGTCATTGTCGGCTCTCAACCCAAGGGCAACACACACAGACAGCGACAGCAATAGTGATCACAACCACGCTCTGGGACTGGGACCTGGGACTTGACTGACTCTGGACATCCCCGATTGAATCATACCCAACAACCACCATCGCAATCCCCGACTGTTGACCTCACCAAAACGCCAAAATGAACCCCCTCGGTCGGGCGCTTCTACCCTGCGACTGCGACCCCATCATGCCAAACATGAACGTCGACTCCATGGACGCTCCCCTTCTGGAGCCCCCGACTACCCCCGTGCGCCCGTACCACGCGCACCATTCCCACGGCATGGCCCTGCAGAAATACATTTTCCTGCAGGAGCAGCACCAGGCACTCCGTCAATACCTGGATGAACTTCGCCAACCCCACCAGGCCCACAACCACACCTCCCGGCTCACTACCGTCGCCGTAGCGGCATCGATCATTCCCAGCCCTCCGGCCTTACCAACCCGCCGCGCCTCCGACTCCGATCCCGATCTGGATCCCTCATCTATGCACGCCCATCCGCGTCGCGGACAGGGCTCGCTCCCCCCATCGCGCAGGGCGAGCTACACTTTGCATGACGGTGCCAGCTCGGTCGAAGAGGAGTTGGCGGTGGGGGAGCAGAGGTTGTGCGAGGTGAATGAGGGGATTAAGCGGGCGTTGACAGAGTTACTTAATTGCGAGACGGTACGGAATGATCGGGCGATGAGGAGCTGGGTGCAGTGTCGGTTGATGGATGCGGAGAGGGAGTTGAGGATGGGGAGGAGGAGGAGGAGTGGCGCCTCGCTGGCATGAGAGCTCAGAGTTGGGGATATACCTACAGCCCGTAGATGAGAGGCTTGAGGATTGGGAGTATTGAGTGAAGACCAACCGGACAATCACAAACGGTTGATATTGTCTGGGAGGTTTGGCGGGAAAAGCCAGTTGAGCCGTCAAAGAAGGAACAACTTAAGGCAGGCAGATTGGCACTCGCACTCGCTGAGAGTATTGCAGCCTCTCATCTACTGACCGCTGTTTCCAACCACTCATTCCAAGCTTCGAAACAACTAAAAGGATAGTGTTAGGAGGAGGATATGGACTGGCACCCATCATCGTCATCTTCTCTCACATTTCACTTCGACGGCGCGTCGAGATGTCGCTGCGCGAGACATCGACTCGTCGCTTTTTGTGCTTACTTTTTTTTTTTTTCAAAGTCGGGATCATTGTTAATGGGAAAAAGGTGTTAGGGTATTTTATCATGGACATATTTCATTTCAGTAGGCTAGGTAATTAGAATGGGATATGGGTTTGGCATTGGTAAATGCTATCTAGTTGTCTTGAAGGCTTAGAAAGTTGTGTTTTCGTGATGGGAGAGAGCGCAAAGGGGAGGGAGATGGGAAAGTTGGATCTGACCCTAACCCTTCAGGCATCAAACTCTCCGTACCCTAACCCGAGATAGTGCAATTCTATCACAAACCCCAAACTTAGCTCAACCAGCAACGCGGTGGCGCGCTCGATCCTCCGCGGCTTGCGACCTTCGACTGCCTTCAACATCAACACTCAGCCGACGACATTCAGCTTCAACTCCCTGAAGCTTTCAGCCCTGCTCAGTTGCAACAGCGATCCCCCTCCATTCTGTGGAACTGCAACGAAAAAAAAAAAAAATCGCCATACGTATCATTTAAGCGCAATTGCAGAAATTCCTCCTTCCTTTCGATCGTAATGCTCAATTCAAATTACTAATCTCGCTGGCCCAAAATGTCTGTACTCCTCGAAACCAGCGCCGGTGACATCGTCATCGACCTGTTGGTCGACTACGCGCCTAAACTCTGCGAAAAGTGTGTCTCCTCTCCCACCTCCCCGTTCCCTCTACTTGCTCTACTCAGATCACAACTGACGTCATTTCCATCAGCTTTCTCAAGCTCTGCAAACTAAAATACTACAACTTCTCCCCAATCCACTCCATCCAGCCCAACTACTCCTTCCAAACCGGCGACCCCTTAGGTCCCTTATCTCCTCACTCCGATGGCGGCACCTCTGTTTGGGGCTTACTTTCGGGTTCTCCGGCCGACAAAACCTTCCCGGCCTTCTTCCATCCCAAGCTGAAGCACCGCGAGAGGGGGACGGTTAGCATGGCTACTGTGCCCGATCCAAAGGACCCTGATGTGAGACTCGCGGCGAGTCAGTTTTTGATTACGTTGGGGGATAACACCGAGAGTTTGGATGGGAGAGCGGCTGTGTTTGGGAAGGTTGCTGAGGGGTTTGACACGTTAGAGAAAATCAATAATGCCATTGTCGATGAGAAGGGGCATCCTTTGGTGGATATACGAATCAAACATACCTTCGTGCTGGACGATCCGTACCCTGATCCCGTGGAGCTGGGGTTCAGAGAACCCAGTAAAAGTCCGGAGCCTACAAAAGAGCAGTTAGCAACGGTTCGGATTGCGGAGGACGAGGAGCTGGTGGACGCCGAAGCGGATGAGAAGGCGGCGGAGGAGGCGGAGCGGAGGAAGAGGGAGCGTGAGGCGGCCGCGCAGGCGCTCACGCTCGAGATGATTGGCGATCTGCCGTTTGCGGAGGTCAAGCCGCCGGAGAATGTGCTTTTTGTCTGCAAGCTGAACCCGGTGACGACGGATGAGGATCTGGAGTTGATTTTCAGCCGGTTTGGGAAGATTTTGAGTTGCGAGGTGATTCGTGACCGCAAGACGGGGGATAGTTTGCAGTATGCGTTTATCGAGTTTGAGGACAAGAAGAGCTGCGAGGAGGCGTATTTTAAGATGGATGGGGTGTTGATTGACGATCGGAGGATTCATGTCGATTTTAGTCAGAGTGTGGCGAGGTTGAGTGAGGTTTGGCGGAGAGAGGAGAATGAGAAGCGACGGAGGGCGGCTGCTAAGAAGGCTGGGGGTTCTGGCGGGGGGTGGGGGGGTATTAAGGAACTGGAGAAGTGGCGGAAGTATAGGAATGAGGAAGTTGAAGAGGATGAGGGAAGGGGATATAGGATGGTGCATGATGTGGAGGAGTTTAGGAGGAAGGGGGAAAAAGAAAGGAAGGAGAGGAGTAGGAGTAGGAGTAGGAGTCGGAGGGAAAGGTCGAAAGAGAGGAGTCCCCCTCGACGGAGGAGTAGGACGCCGAGAAGGGGGAGTCGGAGTCCAAGAAGGGATCGGGGACGGGATCGGGATAGGTACGGACGGGATAGAGACAGAGAGCGGGATCGGGATAATAGGAATCCGGATAGGGATAGGGAGAGGGATAGGAACCATGACCGTGACCGGGGCTATCACCGCCGGGACAGGTCAAGAGACAGAGGACGGGATCGGGATCGGGAGCGGTACCGGCGTGATGACAGAAGGTGAACGGGCCGGACGGAATGGCAACTCAGTAGTATCCTCGGGTTGAGTTGCCGTACAAAACACAATTCACGATATCACATCGAGCAACATCTTGATCACCAGTGGCGCGCTCGTGTTCTGCTTTGTATGCATTGTGCGCAGCAGCTGCAGCAGTCAACTCCTGCGCTGTGCATCTCGGCAGCCAGTCACTTCTGCAGATTGTTCTGAAAATGGTTTCTGCAGAAGACTGCGTTCGACGCGAACATTGTCCGTTGTGGCGTCGTGGATCGTGCCACGACTGATTCATGTTGGATGCGGCGTTAGAAAGGTCCAGGTTTCATTCTTGACGGCGACAAGCTTGCGAGTTGGGACATTGACGGTTGCTTTAATTCCTCTTTGTATGGCACTTGAGCTTTGCAACTACGGATCGTCGTGCGCGAACCAAACCGTGGCACCTTCATCCTGTCTTTGGATGATGATCAGGATACCACGAGTTGAATTCAGCAGATCTTTACATCGGCAAGCTTCTGACAGCTTAAGGACTCGTTTGTCCTACCCACCATCAGAATAACGAACTTCTAGAACCATGTCGCCCTTCCTGCTACCGACGGTTCTCTCCCCTCCGTGACATCCTCAGATCCATTCTTGTTGATCGACTGCTAGATGTGAGCTGTCAACTTCAGGGTTATCGCTGGAACACTCGAGCATAATATAGCGCAAATATTGCGATATTGATGTTGTACAGACGCTCGGACAAATTGGAGGCAATATGCTGTTATGCAGAGATGTGAAACGGTTCGTTTTTATCTCGGTTCTGGCTGACCTTAGCTGGGTCTGGACTTCTGTCTAACAGTTTGAGCTGCCTTAAAGGTCAGTGATGTGGGTTTCTTTCTGTGGGGTACTATAAGCGCCTAGAGGAAGCAAACATAATAAATCCTGGACTCAGGCCTCTGATGTTTGTTTACTTCCCTGCTCGAAACCTTCGCTTCTTCCCGCTGGATCTCGCTAGATGCCTCAGGACTTTAGCTCAAGCATAGCTACTGCCCCTGAACTTTGTACGGCAGAACACGGACCTTGGCCTGGGGCTTTGACATCTTGTGAGACTTTAATATGTCTGGTTTAGATACATGGGCTACTTTGCCGTGCCACAACATCATCTCTAAGGACAGATGATTCCTCAGCATCAAGCCACCAGACATGTTGTTTGACCGTCCAGCTAGCCATCAGTTCACTTTGTGAATGGAAAAAGTCACTCTCTTGACTCGGAAGCCTACCCACTTCGAAGCATGGGCCCCTGGGCCCCATTCCATCCCTGAACAGTCTTCCTCTCCTCCTCCTCTGCACCGCGACCACGTGAATGCTCACCTGACGGGATGAGCTAAACCCTAGGTAGTTAAGGCATCTCCTCTATCTGCCTTCGACCGTCCCGCCTCATCCGCACTTACCACCAACAACGACCCATCGGGCGCCCACATACAACCCCCGCTGTTGCGCAACCTCAACTTTCCAGGGTCACCTCCTCCTGCAAATACCCGGATTACTGACTGGCTTTTCCTGTTGCCCACAGCGAGGTAAGGCAGACTGCTAGTTTCAAGGGGCTACGATAGGTACAGAGAGTACCAAGGTGAAAGGAGGGGGAGAGCTTCTGCAACTCACGGTATGGATTTGCAAATCCTGCTCCCCACTGGCTCTGTTTTGTTCAAACTTTCTGCTGTTAGGTTGGTGTCGGATTCCGTACAGGTTGATTTGAGGTGACAGAAATGTAGAATATTCACTGCCGTGGGGCGTACGTATGTAGTTATGAGGTTCTGGTCCATGCCTGGGGCCATGACTGGGCGATCGCCAGATCTGAGATAGGCAACCCGACGGGTCGGGGCCGCCGAGAAGGGCATGTAGGTAGATCTTGAGCGTATCAGCCGTGCTGCAGGGTGATCGATCCGATGATGATCTACTTGTAGGGCGGGGATCTTGGTGTAAGAAGAGAGGGGAGGAGATGCCGTCCAAGTTGGTTTATAATGTTGGCTTCAATTGAGGAGGTTACTAACTTGGCTTTTAGAAGAAAATACTCCGTTTAACTGGCGCTAGAATTATGATCGAAGGTTCTCCTTGATGTCTCGATCATCATCTAGTTTAGTCCAGTTCGTGTTCACTCTAACTCCTGATGCACCTCTCTCAACCCACCCCCCCGGTCCCCCCCTCCCCTGCCAGTGATCACCCGCCGGCCTACCAAGCCTCGTCGTGTGGCTACCCGTCGGAAGAAGGTCTCAGATCCGGCCCGAAGCCGTCTCCTAGAACAAGAACAAGAATCAAGACGGAGGCTGGGAGAATCTGCGTATCACTCGTCAGCAGTTACCCCAGAAAACACACAGGCATCTGTGCGAGATGATAGGTCAAAATATCCAACTATCCAAGAATTAGGTGCAGACTTCAGGAGGATGAAGTCAAACACTGATGCATGCTTGTGGTCACGAGTGCAGCATCATGTATGATGGACCTAAGAGGTTTTATCTGGAGGATTATGAGTGGTGAAAATGCCGTGACGTGTGGTCGGATATGTAGGGGTGCATAGAAAGTACATACACGATGGTGATAGACATAGTACGGCAGAATTTCGCATGAGCGTAGAGGGGATTGTGATAGGGAGGGCAAGGGAAGAGACGTTTGTTGTAGGTACAACGATGGCAAATCGGATGTTAGACCTCAACAAGCACTGCCATGAGGGAATCGCATTTCTTGACGAAACTGTCTATAGACCGCTTCATTCTTGTCCAGACTATAGGAGTTCTCCGAGGAGGTCCGACCTAGGCCAAGTCATCTTCCCCTCCGCGCCCCCCCCCCCCCCCTCAAAAAAAAAATATTAGCCTACACATCTCGATCTCCAATACCCATCCGCAAACTGTACTGCAATGTTCAATTCCAATCTCTAACCGCCGCTCATGATTCGTAGCACTCAACCTCAATTATGCATTTGTAAACGCCTTACATGGATATGGCGTAGCGCGGCCAGGGAGCGGGCCGTACAATCTCCGCGGTGGCTTGTCGGCGGACGCTGCATATGACAGATGGCGTCTGCGTGTCGTCGGCCTTTTTGCTTCTAGATGTTGAAGAATGCTCACATTTACTGGATGTATCTTGTTTCTTCGTAGACAAGGAGCAAGGGGTGGATGAGTATGGCAGTAAAGTGCACCGGCAATGCAGTTCAAAAGTCGGACCGGGACCGGGGATTAGGGAGCCAGATCACGAGCTGTCGTTGCAGAATTATGCGCGTGATACCCTGTCAGTTACTTCGTGTTGTTTGGAAACTAGTCAATCGCGAAGTGATGGCATGTCAGAAGGATCAAGTTTGCGAGTGAGGGGCGTGGGGGGAGCAGATGCGGGCGTTTGGAGCTGCAGGAGTGATTTGGGCGATGTGAATTTTTGAGTGGACGGGGGATTAGAGAACTAGAATGGGATTTCCAGACCGCCAATCTTCGAAGTTTGTTTTCCCATCAAGATGGGGAGGATTGGAGAATCTAGAACCAGGCTATGAGGGTTAGTGTTCGAATAGGCGTTTACAGTAGCCGAACTGTATGTGAGCTTACACTCCCCACTTCCACCCCTAAGACCCAACCACCTGCTAACCTTCATCCTGTCAAGTAATCCGAGTCTCTGTACGCCCTCGAAACTTTCCAATGAAACCTAATATCTACACATCTTATTGGTATCGTTGCACAGAGCGCTAGGTGATTGTGTCCCCATCCAACCCAGCCCCTCACACACAGACGGACTTTGGTAATCGAGGTGTGAGGCAAGGAGACAAGGTGTGTCTGGGTTTCACAATCTTTCGATGGTGAGTGGACTGAAATGCAGATTGCATGCTGCACGTCATAACTATAGCAGCGCAAAGTAAACACAGATGGTACATTGGGACAGCGTAAATTCCATCTTCCCAAGGGAAAATCCCATACCGCAAACACTCATCACCCCTGATCTTCAGTCAACCTCCACGGTCATGCAGAAGAAAAACGGAATTTTCCAGTACATGTTTTAGTCCTAGCCTTTTCTGGGTCATCATCCTCAAGAGAAGTCTTTGTGAGACATGTCGTCGCATGCTAGGCTGAGGAACCCCAGTGGCAGGAAGATTATCTTACCCAACATTTAACAGACGTTGACCAGAGCACAACTGTGTAGCCTATGGTTGATTCTCGTGTAAGCCTTGGTCGATAGGAGGTTTATCTGTCAAATTTTTGTGATATGCTGCTGGAGCCAGGGGTTGCTGTTGTGTCCTTGGTGCAGGACAAGAGTGCGTATGTGCCAGCTGCAAACGAAAGACTGGTCTCCGTACCAATGGCCATGGGTTCTTGTGCTGTTATGCCAGTTATCCAGCATCGTCATCGATGTCGAAAAGTCCAATATGCTCCGTCATTTTACCTCAACATCCAGACTCACAAGTCACATTCCAGGACTATTTTTTCTTCCTCCATCTCCTCAAGCCCTCATCCTTCACGTTACCCTCCCCGTTTACACATGTGCCTCTGTAGACCTCTTAGCTGTCATAACACGACAACAACGAGCACGTTACGTCTGTATGTGATACCCTGGACATGTCTGTGCAAAGCGATATCGGATAGGGGTCCATGCTCCTCTTTGCCCCCTGAATCCTGAGGCTCCTCATACAGACAAGTAGTGTGCTGTGTAACGCTGCAAGGCAGGTTGGATACGCCAGAATAGCACTTATCATATATGGTTATGTATCATGTATCGCGCGCGCGTGTGTGTATGTGTGTGTATGAGTGCGCATGGTCCTATCCTTTCCTAAGGCCTGAACGCCCACTGGCAGCGTCAACATCTACATCCTCTATAAACCGCGCTTACTTGTTGACCTCAATTCTTCTGTAGAGTCCGACTTCCGCAGAGAAGGTTGAAGAATATCACTCTCATCATATGCGGATCAATGTGGGTCTAAGGGCAAATCACCATCGATCTACTTCAAACGCACCATTGGTGGCATCGGTGTAGGTGCTGCTGATGCCTGGGAATTGGCAAATGCCCTTCCCTGTTCTGCCTGTCCTGTCAAGGAGGTCACATCTCCTATCGATATGTACCTACTGTCCATGTTTGTGCGTAAGCAAATGTAGCTCCTGGTACAGCTTATAACATGACACCTCTCACCGTTGATTCGGATGCGGTCCAGAACTTTCATGTTTACCCTTTCTGTTTTCTCTCCAACTCCAGCATTCTTTTACTGTCTTGGCCTACGAGTTATAAGAGAGCAGGCAGAGGAACTTTGGTTCATTAGTTCAGTTGGAGAGTTTTATTCTTCTCAATCTTTTTCCTCCGTAGTCTGTTGTGACCTTGACCTCTGAGGCTGCTGCATTAGCTGAGACTCAGACGAAGAAAATAACTTGTTCGCTTTAGTCATTTCCCAGTGACTCTGCCCATATCGAGAACCTGAACACCACTTACTCACTGTCCTCCAAGCTCTACATCTTGTTTGAGCCGCGCTGAACCCCTGTTTCTCCGCGCGTCCTGGTATGTCTCACCAACACCCACTATCATTTAATCCTTTTCGTCCCCCTACCCCAAAAGAGGCGTAAGTGCGCCATCTAAACTAGATCCGGGCCCAGAGAGCGACCTGCCAGTCAGGTTCTGGAGGTGTGTGGGCAACAACACTCGTCTCTTGTCTCTCGGCCGGTTTCAGTGAAACTAGGGCGTACAAATTTCCAGGTCTAGCAGCCTCACGCTACACCAGAGGGAGAGAGGGGAGGGGGAGGGGGGGGACGACAATAGACAGGCGACCTGAGGTAATGCCATGGCGCCTGTATCTTGCTGTTTGGGAAATGGATGCAGCAAAGATTTCTCGGCTCGATGGTATATGTCGTTCATGCGGTCACTAAAGTGGCGCGTGCTCACTTATACAGGACAAGCTTTTCATAGTCAAACTCCTCTTACACAATCCCAAGGAGAACTTGGCCACTCTAACCGCTGCCGGTTGCTCCTCGACCCATAAACGACCAGTCTCACTCTGTTTGTTTACCAACCCGGCCCTACCTGCAACGTTCATGTTGTTACAACCTGCTACAAGACACGCAGCACAACCACACGATTGAGCGCTTGTTAGGACGAAAGGCTCCTTCGCTCGGTCTGGCTCCCACAAAGCCAAAAGTTTTTTACTTGATTACCACCAAACGTCGAGTTCGGAAAACATCAAAAACGCGAGGATCGTTAGAACCATCGCATCTCTACAGAAATCACCGCGAACTTATAGCAACAACAACTAGCATTAGCAGCATCAGCACACTCGCTAATCCCCCTGAAACCCAAAACCTGCCCCTAAAATAACACGGCACGACACTGACATCGACCAATCGTGCCGTCCCCGTCCCTAACCTTCCTCGAAATAACCATGGTCTCCCAAGCGTGCTACACCACCAGCGACAGACGGTACAGCAGCCGACACTACCCCTTCGGTCCCAGCAGCCTCAGCAGCAGTAGCGCCAACAGCTCCATCTACTTCCACGAGCATCAACGCCGGCTACATCACGATCCTCCGCCGCCACCACCTCCTCCAACACTGCCATCAACAAGGGCACTCACATCCGCGGGAACCATGCCGCATGGCGGGCACGAAGGCGGTCATCATCACTTGGAGACGGAGGCGGCGCCGCAGAGGAAGAGGATCGCTGTTGCGGTAAGGATGTGTCGCGTTGATCATGCCCATTCCTACCTATGAGCCAAATATTTCCCCCATACCAGCACTGCTTAAGAAGCAGCCCCTGCAAAGTGTACCCTAGAGAGAGGACAGATCCAACTACTTAAAGTTTACCCTCACTCACCTCAAAATCCAAGCGTTTGAAGCTCACTGCATCACATCACTGCAACTTACTACTATTGAACCTGCCAGTAGCACCCCTAAGTTGTTCGTTCTACACACTGACTTACCTCATATTGCTCCTGAACTCGCCCCCTCCTCCCCTCCTCCCCAAACAACACCCCCAACCTCACTGTCTCACTTATCCTCATGATATTAAGCTAACTTTCTCCAGTGCGGTCGCTGCCGCAAACGCAAAATCCGCTGCAGCGGCGACCCGGGCCAAGGTCAGCCCTGCACCAACTGCAAAAACGCCGGCGCCGAGCCTTGCCAGTTCCTCCGGGTAAGTGACATCTGTCAGGGTGTTAGCTTCTTCCTTCTTTCCCATCCCCTCTCCCCCATTAAAAGTAAAACTAACAGTTGTTATTTCATACTGGAGGTCTCCTCCCGAGAAGCGCACATTCGCCCCGACGCGGCTCCCGCCCCACCCGACTTCGGCTATCCCCTCAGCGACGCCCGGGTCTATGCCTCGCGCACGCCCATCCCCGGTGGTCCTCCCCCTCCCCCTCACACTTCACTATACGGTGGTCCCCCGGGCTCCGACCTCCCCGGCACATTGACTTCCCCTCACGGCACGGTGGACATGCTCTCCTACCGCACAGCAGCAGCAGCAGCAGCAGCATATGGAGCGTATGCTGCGCATCCTCACGCAGGGAAGACATATTACCCTGCCATGCATGCATACGGCACGCCGTATGCGGGGGCTGAGGAGTTTGAGTTTGGGTTAGCGCCAGCAGGGGTTGCTGCCGCGGCGGGACAGTCGGTGTTAGGTACGACTGAGGCGACCACCGCGATGGGGTGGAATTCAAGAGCCAAAGTGACGGGTTTTACTGCCGCCAGCAGTGGCGTGTACCTGGATTCTGCGACACCGGCAGTTGATGGGGGATACACCACCTACGCGGGCGCAGGGGGCATCTCTAGCCGAGAAGGGTCGAACTTCTCTTTTTCTGGGGTAGCTGCTTCGTTGCCTGCGGGCATGAGTGTCCCAACGACAACAGAGAGGCTACTCCCCAACCCAACGGGTCGCTCCGCAAGTGTGTTGCCCTACCCAGCAAGCGTCAAGCCTCCTTCTGCGGCACAAAGCGCCTCCAGCTCGACGGCGGGAGCGACACTAGCGGACGTTGCTACCGCAGCAGCGACGTATGCCTCAAGCTTCGAAACATCTGGACTGTCTTATTCGGGCTCAAGCCAGGCGCCGGCATCTACCCGGACAGGGTCAGACACATCCTATCCCCCGCCGCCGCCTGCTACCGGAGCAGAGGGAATGTTCAACGAAGATTCCCGCTCCTCCCAAAGCCAGAGTTCAGGAGGCTTCGAAATGGGGACGTACACCACCGAGCCAAGGCGTGAATCCGACACTGCCGGTGGCAGCTCTCACGCCGGATCATCGTATCAGAGCGACGGGAGTCATGGTCATGATTCAGCAAGCAGTAGCGAGCACCACAGTCTGTCTAGCACCAGTACAAGCTACCTCAATGATGGGGCTAGCTCGAGTCTAAGCTTGAGCAGCAGCAGTGAAAGCCGGATTGCCACGGCGGTGGCTACCCGTCATTGAGGTCTCGTGGGATGGATGTGGAGGTTGGGAGTCGGCACGAGACAGTCACGAGCAGGAAATGATCGATTGGCTGATTAAGCGCCTGACAACTGCCGCTCGGCTGGGTGAGTCAAGAGAATCGATCGACGTTGGCGCTGCCGCCAAAGTTAAAAGACATGTTTCTTCGGTTCTGGCCCCGGAATTGACATCAAGAACTTGGTAGACGATCGAGGGGGATCTGAGGTGAGAAGGCATCTGAGCAGCTGTGAAAACGGGTGATCGGAAGTGCAGTTCCTGTGTTGTACAAGGCGCTTGTGTTTCCGAGAGAGAGAGAGGGTAGGGGGGGTT